ACTTGGATGTCATTTATGGTCTCTTTAGAGTATATTCCCAGTAGTGGAATTGCTGGGTCAAATGGTATCTTTATTTGCAACTTTTTGAGAAGGCGCCACAATGCTTTCCACAGTGGTTGCACCATTTTACACTCCCACCAACAGTGAATAAGGGTTCCAGTCTCTCCACAACCTCCCCAGCTAGGTTTTTAATGGCCATCGTCTATCTGCGCTATTGAGAAGGGAATACTATGTTGCACTGAAAAACAAGGAACTCATGAAATATTATTCAAAATGGGTGACCTTGGAGGACATTATGCTGAGAGAAATATCTCAGTCACAAAAGGACAAATACCACAAAAGGACAACTATAGCATAGTGCCACTGTTGTAAAACAGGACTAACATCAGGTTTGAAGGGAGTCTGATAAAGAGGGGATAAATAATGTATACTGCATTGAAACAGCTAAGGGAGAGAACTGTTTAAAATCAATATATGATTAGGTATTATTATCATGACAGGAGTTCAGAATGAAGGCTGCATAGTGGAGTGGACTTGGGGGGAGGGATTCTATAACAATGAAAGAATTTTTCTTTTACTTTTCAAAGAGTGAATTGGAAGGGGAAGGGTGGGAAGAGAGAAAATTCAACAATGAATGAATGGAAATTCAAAGTCTCTGCGCATTAAAATTAAAAAATAAATTAAAAACTTAAAAACCAAAACAAACAAAAAAGGGCAAATACTGCATGGTGCCACTGTTGTAAAGCAAGTCTGACATTGGAATTGGTGGGAAACTAAGAGGGAATAAATAATGTATACTACATTGAAACAGATGAGGGAGAGAACTGTTTAGGAGGAATATATGATTAGGTATTAATGTCATGACAAGAGTTCAAAATGAAAGCTGCATAGTGGAATTGACTGGGGGGGAGGGGTTGTGTAATAATGAAAGATTTTTTTTTATTTTCAAAGAGAAAAGTGAGTGAGGGGAGAGGTGGGCAGGGAGGAAACTGCAACAGTGAATGAATGGAAATCCAAAGTCTCTGTAAACTTCCATTAAAATAAAAAAAATAAAAACAAAACAAACAAAAACCCACGATAAAACCAAGAGGATTGAGCCTGGTGGCAAGGAGCTGCGCTGCAATCCTGAAGGCACGCTGTTTGAGCCACCAAGTGCTCCGCAGAAGAAGGATGAGCAATCTCCTCCTGTACAATTAATTGCCTCTGAAAACCTGCCGGAGGGTCAGCTATGGGGTCAGTTCCAATGGTACACAACAACAACTGGGGTAAGGATAAGTGGAGAGAAAAAGAAGAGATGGATAGTTAAGGAATACAGCATTGAAATAGGTGAAAGGTAGATAATTCTGAACACAGACAATAACACATGAATAATGCAACTAATAAATTGGTATAGGATATGCAAGGGTGGAGTTCCTGAGTAACTTCTTAGAATATCTAATATATAATGGTTTATGACTAGAATTTGTAGATTTCACGGAACATGATCAGAGAAGATCTAGCCCATCTAAAAGGTCACTAGCATATTCAAGCATTCCTGGAGTAGAAGTAATGCATGGTGCTGGTAAAGTGATTAAAGCCCTCGAATGCTAATCATCAATAGTTTGAGCCCATGGGTTCCTCTGCAGGATGAAGATGAGGCAGTCTGCTTCTGTAAAGACCTGCAGCCTTGGAAAG